GAAAGAAAAATATAACACAGATTTATAATATGACATAGGAAAGGCTTCCTCAACGACACAAAAGAACTCATACAGAAAAAATTGGATAAATGGGGGCTGCATTTAAATGAAGAAATTTTATTTATTGGAAGGCACCTGTGATGAGCACTGGGTATTGTATGTAAGTGTTGAGTTGCTAAATTCTACACCTGAAACTAATATTACACTATATGTTAACTAACTGGAATTTAAATAAGAACTTGGGGAAAAAAAGAAATTTTATTCATCAAAATACACCATTGTGGAAAAAAAAAAATACACCACTGTGTATTCATCAAAATAGAGCCAAAAAGTAGGACTATTTGTGGGTAACCATGGGCTTAATTTTTAGAATATATCTTTTTTTATTTTTTTTTAAATATTTTTAATGTTTATTCTTGAGACAGAGAGAGACAGAGCATGAACAGGGGAGGGTCAGAGAGAGAGGGAGACACAGAATCCGAAACAGGCTCCGGGCTCCGAGCTGTCAGCACAGAGCCCGATGCGGGGCTCGAACCCACGGACCGCGAGATCATGACTTGGGCTGAAGTCGGACGCTCAACCGACTGAGCCACCCAGGCGCCCCAAATGTATCTTTTTTTTTAACTCCCACAAATCTAAAAAAAGAGAAAGAAAGAAAGAAAGAAAGAAAGAAAGAAAGAAGGAAGGAAGGAAGGAAGGAAGGAAGGAAGGAAGGAAGGAAAGAAAGAAAGAAAGAAAGAAAGAAAGAAAGAAAGAAAGAAAGAAAGAAAGAAAGAAAGAAGCAACCTAGAAGAAAAATGGAGAAGGGCATTTAGGCATTTGTATGGGAACTCCACAGCTAACCAAATGTCCAGTAAACACATGAAGATATTTAACACCATTAGTAAACAAAAAAATGCAAATTAAAACTATAATGCACTATAGGTTATACTGCACATCAGAAGGGCTAATTTTCTAAACTCAGGAGAAAAAAAAAAAACAGAAGAAAGTGTTCACAAGAATGTGGATTAATAGGTACTCTCATTAAGTACTAGAAGTAGTGTAAAATGGTATAACACTGAAAATCTGTTTAGCATTTCCTATTAAATTTTGAAATTCACATTCACCGTGTACTACTAATTTACTATTAGGTATATATGTACAAAATATACATACATATGTAGAAATGCAGAAGTATATACAGTATACTAAAAAGAAGATACATACCAATATCATTCATAATAGTCTCAAATTGAAAACCTTATTGACCATTAACAGAATGGATAAACAAATTTTGGTATATTCATATAATGGTAAACTAAAACAATGGTAAAAATGAAAGAACTGTTATACTCAGCAACATGGTTAAATCTCAGAAACATTGCATTGAGTGGAAAAATTCATATACAAAAGAGTACATACTAGATAGATAGATTTAGATTGATTTCAAAAACATGCAAAAGTTATCTATGATGCTAAAAGTCATGAAAGAGGTGATCTTTGGACACACTCATGAGTTTACTTTCTGTCTTTATATCTCTGTGTCTTTCTCCATCTCTCTCTCTATACATATATTAATTACATTGGCTGGACATATATCCAAAAGAAATGAAATCACTATATATATTCTGTTGGGTCTGTTTCTGAACAGTTTTCAGAGTTTGTCCTGGGTTTCTGAAATTTGTTCTCCAATCTGATTACATTTCAAGTCACTAATGACTCTCTTTCCAGTAGTAAAACATCACTAATAGTCCAAGGCATGATGTTGCAATAGAGATACATAAAATACCATCATGGGATACTTATTATCAAATACTTAACAAGAGGTAAGGTTCTGGATAACCATGTGCTTGATACCTTATAACATTTTTTGTCAAACTAACCATTATAATGAGATTGGCTGGTTGTTCCAGTTGCACTGGTCAAAATGGGGAAAGGAAACGATGAGGTCAGGGAGTTGAATTCTCAGCTCACAGGCCACCTATAGGACCAGAAAGTCTCTGCCCTGAAAGAATCTCTTACCTCGTGTAGCTGCAGAGGTGAGGCTGCTGAAAATGAAATCCAGCCTCTCATCCTTTGAGTAGCTGAATTAACAACACAAATTAAATTCCCAAATGTCCACAGTGTCTGCTATTAAAGTGAGGACATTGACAAGGAAGAAATGGAATCCTGAAAATTGGAATGGAGATATATGGGATGATCTTAATGAAGTTTGGAACGCTGAAACCCCCACATTCTGACGAGCCTTCTTAGAGAGGACTCTTAACAGTTTGGTTAAGAAATGAAATGAAATATGGTCTACTCTAAATGAAGTGGATATACCAGGACTGCTTTGGTATAGGGTAGTAGAAGAAATCCAAAGGCTTAGAGATATTGGGATGTTAAAGTGGTTTTATCATCTGAAACATACTCGTTCACCCTGGGAGGGTCCAGAAGATACATCTTGCCCCACAGCTGTGAGAAATAAATTTGTGAAGGGAGTCCCAGCATCCCTGAAGAGCTCTGTGATCACTCCTCACTGTAGGTCAGAGTTACAGTGGCTTCTGGGAAATGAAATAATAATCTCAAAGAGATATTTGAGATGTTTATTGCAGTATTGTTTACAATAATAATGTAATACAACACAATTATACAATTATATAATAATGTAATTATATATTATATATTATAATTATATATAATATACATATAACATATATATAATAATGTAATTACAATCAGCCATAAAAGAGAAGAAAATCCTGCCACTTGTGACAACATGGGTGGACCTTAAGGGCGGTATGCTAAGTCAAATAAGCTAGACAGATAAAGACAAACACTGTATCATCTCATTTATATGTGGAAGAAAACAGACTGGCTGCCAGGGACTGGTGGCGGGGAATGGCGAGGATGGATGAAATGGGTGAAGGTGGTCAAAGGATACTGATATGCCCCGATTCGAGAGACCCCCGAAAACAAACCACCAGAGTCCAGAGCCAAAGCCAAGCGGCAAGGGTCGTTTATTGCAGGTTCGAACCCGGTCCTCCGCGCACTCGTCGCCGGTGATGCAAAAGGCCCCGAGCAAGGATCTTACAGCTTCTTTTATAGACAGGCACAAACAAGTTAGGGATTTTTTTTTGAGGTTATAGAGTTGTTATAGGCTGACATTTAAATTTGAATGCTCAGCAGAACTTGATTGGTTCCCGCCTTTATTTCAAACCATTCAGCAGAACTTGATTGGTTCCCGCCTTTATGTCAGACTACCACCGGGCGCGCCCTGGCTGGTTTCGGGAACGGCGGGGGAAGGGAAAGATTTTTCTTTGCAGTTGTGAGTACACCTGGTAACTTTTCTCTTAGCCTCTCAATACAAACTTCCAACTGTAAGATAAAAAAGTTCTGGGGATGTAATATACAACCATGGTAACTATGGTTAACAATACTATATTGCATATTTTGAAAGTTGCTAAGGGAATAGATTTGAAATGTTGTCTCTACCAAAAAATTATTGTAACTGTGAGGCAATAGATGTGTTAACCAACCTTATTGTGGTAATCATTTCACAATATATACATATATCAAATCATCGCATTGTCTGTCTTACACAATGTGGAGGTCAATTACATCTCAATAAAACTAGGATGGGAAAAGAAGTTACCATGGGCACTGCTGCTACTGAATAATGAAACCTAAATGGAATGGGGATAATTGGATCCCAGGGTGGCAGGAGCCAAGTGGTGCACTTAGCTGCCAAAGGCAAGGTGGGCATGGTTACCATAATGGACAACAAAGTAGAATCAGAATAATTTGGTTCACAGAGACCTATGGCATTGGCTAGTTGATCATTCTAGCCCTAGAAGTGAAATAGATGGGGAATCTACTGAACTCTGGACTTGATCTGTATAAGCGGAAGGGTTCTAGGTCAAGTAAACAAAAGTCCAACCTGAATCATAACAGAGTCATGGCTTCCTAGTAAATTCCGGACTTGAGCCAGCTTACAGATCCAGAACCCCTTGAACGAAGGAAAGGCAACCCCGTTACACTGCCCCAATTCTACTGTTAGTCTTTCTCCCAACCTTCCTCCCGAGGGACATATCCTTTCACCAGGACGACTGTGCACTGGGGGGAAAAACAACCAAAAGGAAAAAGGAAAAGCTAATTTCTGTCATTTCCCATTTCACCAATATCCTCTTCTATGATAAAGATGTTTATTGCTCTGTTCGTCTGATGGTTTAACACTGTTCTAACAGTACATTTATACCTCTATTTCTTGATTTATTGACTTTTAAACAGTGTCCATTAGCGCCCACACTGAAAGGCAAAGGGATGGCTTATTTTTCATTAGCTCCGAGTTTCTCCTCCCTCTACTGAATGTTAGTTGTGTATTATTCTGTCCTCATTTTTCTTCTTGTGGTTATTTTTGTGACAAAATAACAGAATCTATTTTGATCCTCAGGGTTAAATAGTAGCCCGGAACTTAATTGGGTTCATACTGTTACCTACCTACCTACCTGAAAAAGGACTTAACTCTAATTTGAGGAATATAGAGCCAACATTTCGGGGAGCGTTTCTTTAAAAAATTTTTTTTACAAAATGCATACCAGTTTGACAATGAAGTCTTAATTGTATTTGCATAGCCGTATTTTGCATTGCCTAACATAAAATTCATAGTCCAGAAGGAATGCAAAAATAAGTAACTCCAGTATCAAATAAATGATACCTTTTTTATTGCCATTGGTTTCATACCCCGAGGAAAATTTAAGGCAATCTCAGTAAATGAGGAAAACTCCTGAAGGTGAATTTGACACTGTTGTGTCAATATTAATTAGCCTGCATTAGACAAAGTGGTAATGACACCCAAATAGCTGAGAGAAAAGCTTTGTGTCAATGCCCCAGATCCTCAGATCTGTGAACCAGGTTGCTGAAAAACTGATTTTGTTTACCAGGTGACTTGACGGCTTTTCTCCTCCCAAGAAAGGAATGTCTCTGGCAGGTGGGTGTTGCCAAACAAAGCTGACTTCTTCCCACATTCCCCTTCTCCACAGATGTTAATGATACCCAAGACACAGAAAGAAATGGAATCCTGCTGAGAAGTCTGCTTCCCGAGACATTGTGCTAACAGTTTTCAAACTTCACCCAAGCAATGGTTCCCAGGAACAAAAGCACTTAGAAAGAGCCACAACATCTGTTTCTGTGGTTCACTCCAGTGGGGGGGGGGCCCCCGGGGGAGGAGCTAAAGCAGTGCTTTCCTTTAAAAAAAAAAGTTTTTTTTACATGTATTTATTTTTGAGAGACGGAGTGAGACAGAGCACAAGCGGGGGAGGGGCAGCGGGGGAGGGGCAGAGAGAGAGGGAGACACAGAATCTGAAACAGGCTCCAGGCTCTGAGTTGTCAGCACAGAGCCCATCGTGGGGTTGGAACTCACCAACCGGGAGGGAGACCATGACCTGAACTGAAGTCCAACGCTTAACCCACTGAGCCACCCAGGCGCCCCAGGCAGTGCTTTTCTTAACGCGATGCCAAGAGCCAAAGAGAAAATGTTGCCACCTAGCCCTTAGGTCTACTACAGTCTCTTTTATGAAATTCAACCATCCCTGGTACCTTGGTTTCCAATTTTACTAGGTTATTGACCTTTATCATTTTAATCTCCCTGGTAAATTCTACTTCAAAAATTACAAAAGCACATATGCTTCCTGTGGTCCCTAGAACAATGCTAAAACAAGAAAACCCTGAAAGCTCTGCCCCCCATTTCCCCCCACCCATCTGCCCTTGGGGAACCAACAGTGATAGCCTGGGGTGTCTTCTTCCACACCTCTCCATATAAGGGAAAGGTTTTGGGTTTTTTTTTAGTGTTTATTTATTTATTTTGAGAGAGAGAGAGCAGGAGCATGTGTGCGAGCCGGGGGAGGGGCAGAGGAAAGGAGGGAGGGAAAGAGAGAATCCCAAGCAGTTTCCACACTGTCAGCGCAGAGCCTGATGTGGGGCTCGAACCCACAAACAGTGAGATCATGACCTGAGCCCAAATCAAGAGTCAGATGCATAACCGACTGGGACCCAGGTGCCCCACGGGAAAGGCATTTTTAACGGAATGAGAATATTACTTGCCATCTTCTCTTTCCTCTTTCAGAATTTATGGTGGATGTTCATCCAGGTCAATGAATATGGAGCTAAGTTATTTTAAAAATAACTGCATGTATCAGTCACCAATTGCTGCCTACTTAACAGCTAATCTCTCCTGCTTCCCTGAAAAAGGAACCTTGATTTTATTCAAGTTTTAAGTGAGCAGTAATATGCTTAGAGAAGGTCAGACTCTCCCCAACCCCAAAGAATGACTCACGATAGGTCTGTAATGTGGGCTCTATATCAGTCATAGTAATTCATTCCCTTGGTTGCTCGTTGGTTTCTAAACCATTTTTATTGAAGTGTAATATTAATACATAAAAGTATCTACACATCAATAATGACCTTTACCAAGCAACATGCTCATATAAACATTACCCACATTAAGACAGAGAACATGATCTGCATCTCAGAAGCTACCTCATGGCCCGTCTCATGCATCACCCTTCCCCCGAGGCCATCGCCTTTTGATGTTTGTCACTCTAGGTTAGATTTTCCACTTTTTGAATGCTATATAAACTGAGCAAACAGCATACGTTCTTGTGTGCCTTCGTTCCATGGTTTAACGTTCTGAGATTCACCCTTGTACTTATTTTATGCCATTATGCTCTCTCTTTCTCATCCTCCTCTGCCTTGAGATCTTGAGTCTCTTTAAAGCTCAGTTTACTACTGATTTCCCCTATCAGTCCTCCCCCATTTGGGAGCAAAGTCATATCCAAACTTCTGAGGCCCCAGCTATGATGCAGAAGGCTGACTATGTACTCCCTCCTCCCTTCTCTGTTGTGCACTGCCTCAAGCATAAGGGCATCTTCTCCCTTGGCCAATCCCCTTTTGCCCTGAGCGATTGTTCTATCTCTTCTGCCTTGTTTTACGTTCTCAATCCAGATGTTGAAATAACTCAGCCTGGTTCTTTTTCATTCGGCCGCTGAGTGTCCCGCTACTCTGTTTTTCCCTGTTCTCGCTCCCTTTCAACTGCCTTCTACTCAAAGTCAACTTCAACCCCTCTTTTTTGAAACATTCCTGTGACAGACGCGAGTTAGTCTATGTCGCCCTAGAATGCATGCTCCCTCCTCTCTTTCCAATATGGCATACAGCTGCCCATCCACACGCAACAGTTCCTTGCATTTTGTGCAGCTTGGTGGGGCCATGTGACTTTGTTTTCACGAGGGAAGTGGGAGTGAACTATGGCACAAATTGCACATCATCTCCCTAAAAGGAAGTTACTTTCCCTTTACCATTTTTCTTTCCAGATTTTTGTTCTGACCACGTATATGGTCCTATACTCCAGCTTTTACCATATAGATGAAGATAATGCGCTGCCTTCTAGAACAGCTCTGTCCAATAGAAATGTGTGAGCCACAGCATAATTTAAAATTTTCTGGGGGCGCCTGGGTGGCTCAGTCGGTTAAGCGGCCGACTTCGGCTCAGGTCACGATCTCACACTCCGTGAGTTCGAGCCCCGCGTCGGGCTCTGTGCTGACCGCTCAGAGCCTGGAGTCTGTTTCCGATTCTGTGTCTCCCTCTCTCTCTGACCCTCCCCCGTTCATGCTCTGTCTCTCTCTGTCTCAAAAATAAATAAACGTTAAAAAAAAAAAAATTTAAATTTTCTGGACAAAAAGAAATAAAAAGGATGGATGAAATTAAATGTAATAACTTACCTTCTTTAACTCAATGCATCCAAAATGTTATTCAATACTCAGTCCCTATAAAGTTATTAATGAGACACTTTGAATTTTTTTTTGCATACAAAGTCTTTGAAAATGGGTGTGTGTTTTCTATTTGCAGCATGTCTTAGTTTGGACTAGCCATATTTTAAAAGCTCAGTAGGAATGCCCGGGTAGTGGCTGACATATTGGACAGAATGATTCTAGAGCCCAGCAAAGCAACAGAATAGAAGGAAGTTGGATCCCTGGTGTAGACTCCCCCAGCCTCCCCATACTAACTGGCTAGAGCTACTATGTGAGCAATAAATTTCTACCTTGTTGAAGCCAGTATTTTTTTTTTTTTTTTTTTTTTTTTTAGTTTCCTTATTACAGAAGCTTAGCCTGTGTCTTTACTGACACACTCACACTTAAACACACAAGCGTAGTCATTCTAATACAGGTCCTCTCTGAACACTACGTTCGGGGCAGCTCGACGCTTTATACAATATCTAAAGTTGAAGGAGTCACCATAGAAGAAGGTCCAGTAATGGTGCACCGAGCAAGTATCTGGAAGGCCAGCTATTCTATAATAAAGGAGGCCCCACTCTCCGCTGGCTTTCATTTTTCAGCTATTGACCTTAATTTTTTAAGGTTTATTCGTTTTTCAGAGACAGAGAGAGACAGAGTGCGAGCAGGGGAGGGGCCGAGAGGCAAGAAGACACAGAATGCGAAGCAGGTGCCAGGCTCTGAGCTGTCAGGCTGACGAGGGGCTTGAACACACAAATCACGAGATCACGACCCGAGCCAAAGTCGGGCGCTTAACTGAGTGAGCCATCCAGGTGCCCTAAAATTAATTTTTAAAAGAGAAAATCCTTGAAGGAGTTCATTGAACTTTCTAAGGTATTTCACACTTTTGCTACACTCCAGATACTGGACTAGACCAGCCTAGACTTGGGCACCAGAAAGACTTCTGGGCATAGGAACTGAGTCATGAAGCATGTGTAGAAATAAGTCAGCTGACATGGGAGCAAAATAGCATAGAATTCCAGCAGAAGGAGAAGCATGTGCAAAGGCCCTGGAGGAGTACCACAATGAAACATTTTGGAGACCACAGGCATTCATTTTGATGAAAATACAGATTGCAACAGCGGAGAGCAGCTGGTGTATATGAGGAATGGCTTTTTTTTTTTTTTTTCCCGACATTCCTCAGTATTTATTGTCTCTCCACACCTAGGACCCCACCCCCAATCCTCGCGAATAAAAGGCCCTCCCGTCTGCCCAACGCTCTGGACTCCGCGGTGTCCGCTCTCTTTGGGTTGAGGGCGAGGAATGGCTTTTTGAAAAGGTTTTGGTGTCCCTGGGAGAGGGCTGTTGGTGGTCTAGAACCTCTAAGGACTTTCAGTGTGGGGGTACAGACATGGCTGGCGGTGATGACAAGATCAGATCTGCCTGATAATGAATAGGACGTTACAGACATGTAGCTGATATGATACTGACCACATTGGTGAATGTAAGGACAGGGCTAAGGTTCCAGATATTGGTGATAAAATGACCGGTAGTCTCTCATGCTGACAAGAGCATAGAGGATTTAGACAGCAGAATGACTTGTTCAGTTTTGGAAAAGTGAAACATGCTAGAAAGTTGGTAAGAGAATCCACCCGTGAAAGAGGAGCCTGAGACACTATCCTAGGGGATATCCACATTTAAGGGATAGGCCGGGAAGGAAGCTCAGAGAGGGAGCTCATAAGAGCCAAGGGAAAGAACATTTCAGTGCACATGCTATTAGGCCAGAGGGCTGGAACATATCTTCTGGCTCTAGCAATAAGGCAGGTGATGATTTCAGAGAGGCGTTCCCTGGGACTGAAGGGGCGGAAGCCAGGTAGAAGTGAAAGAAAGAGGGAATTGGGATAAGAAAGTGGATCTGATCATTACAGACCACCCTTTCAAAGAGCTTAACTCTTAAGAAGGAAAACTGCAATCGGGAGACGAGAGAGGAGGTTTTTGTTTTGTTTTGTTTTTTTCAATAGATTGTATAAATATTTAATGCTCAGAAAATTCTCTAGTCAAGTGGAAGAACATAATATCCTAGAGAAACGATGATCAGTGGATCAACCCACGGAGGTGGGAAAAAGGAAGAAATTGGTGCTTTGGCAGTGAGCCTGTGGAGTCAGCAGAAGGCAGGGATGGGAGGGAGTTTTCTATTTTCTCTAAACTGAGGGGGGGGAATCTCTGCTCAGTGAGGGTGGAAGATGCTAGCTCCGGATCTGGGACAGCACTAAGCTTAGTTGTGCCACTCGCTTCCGCTCTCTTCCAGCCGTCTGGGAGTCCTGACGCAGCGGGTAGGACAGGTGGGTTGGCGGGGGAGGGCTTTGCAGGGAGAAATGGAGGAAAAGATGAATGAGCAAGGGAAGTGAAGGTT